ACATGCAATCACTCCATTTTCGCTTAAATAACTGTATAATATTCATTGGATGTTTTATTTTTTTTTATTAACATGTGTGTGTTAACATCAATGCTGGAGCAAAAAATAAGAACAATAATAATAATGATAATAAATTTATTTGCTGAATGAAGCCTAAAATCAAAAGATGTTTTCAAACAAGAGAGTAGATTAATAGCTACACATTAACTTGCAATAAACTAAGGGGAATGTTAAATATATCCATATTGTCACTAAATAGACCCACCCTTGATGAAGAATATGGTAATCATGATGAATGTGGTTGGTTTTTATTGATTGCAGATCTAATAGAGGAAAAATGAATCTAGAGGTCATTTTATTTATTTTTCATGATGGATGAGTTGATTTAATAAAAACCTTTCATTTTCATTTCACACAAACTCACTTTCTTATTTAATTTCTTGTGTTTCAGTATTCAAAACTTAGTAATCCAGATTCTAAAGGGAGGTTGGAATGAACTTATCATACTCTTCAATGGATGTGACCATTTGAATAAACCAAGAGGTAACAAATAAAGAGACATGAAAGAAACTTTTAGTATCTTAGTTATATATATATATATATATTCTTCCTTAAAAAGTATATTGCAAACTTGGTATGTAGTTAGTCGTGCCCACAAGACTAACAAATTCATTGTTATCTATTTAGATTTGCAATCTTGTGAAATCATGTATACTTGCTATTTTATGCCCTTATACTTATTTGTATTTGAAAAGAAAAGAAAAAATGAATATGAATATAAATATTGATTCCACTTACTTGCATGTGAATGGTTTTTATTAGCTATCAACTAACTTGATATATGTATTCTAGACAATGCAAAAACTTGAATGTGGAATAATATTGTGAACTTATTGCAATTGTCAACATGTGCACCTCTTACAATGTCTTTCCTTCTAGAGGTGTCATGTGGGTAGTCATGTTTTGTATAAGTCTTTTGATTTACTCCGTGTTTACTCCATGTGTAAACTCATATGGCTATAATTTAGAAGTTGAATTAAAATAATAACAAAACAAAACAAAACATGCCAAAAATAACAAACATATCTTGTTGGAGAATTTTTTCTACATAAATTAGTTTGTACCTGAGTTTGAAATATGTCTGATTGTAAATAAGACACATGCCAAGTGGATTTATTAATAACTAAAGTAGTGTGTATTCATATATATATATATATATATATATGTGTGTGTGTGTGTGTGTGTGCATGAATGAATTGATGGTTATTGTCAGCAGTAACATTATTATTATTTTGGAATAACACGAATTGTTTTTGTACATATATTGAGAAAATGAAAGTATAACAATTTTAATACCTTTCAAGCTATATTCAATACAATATGCCCACAAAAAGAACAGTAACACATGACTATGATACCAATTGGCACCACATAAATTCCATTTATCAGAGTGTGGATATTTGATTGTTTTTAAAGTCATTTGATTCCATTCACAGTTACATAAACTCGTCTATTTTAATAATAAATTAATTTCATTTAAATGAATTCATTCTTCCGTATTCTTTTAATAGCAAAAATAGGATACAAAAGCAGAAAAAATAACCAAACAAATGCATCACAGAGTTTAAAATTATATTTTGAAATTAAAATAAAATTTTTAAACAACAGAAATAATTAAATGATAGTTGTGCAATAAATATTAAAAACTACACAATCCTTGAAAATATACATACATACATATTTAGGTTGAAGTAAATCTTATTTTGAATTTATTTTTGGCACGAGTTCTTAAATGTTATTATTTATTTATTTATTTATCTATTTCATGTAATCACATTAATAACTAGTTCAAGATCCAAAATCTAGATATTAGCTTTTATTTCATCGTATTCAAATCCTTGCTTCAAAGGAGCAATAATGCATTTACTGTTGGTCAGTAAAACAGCAACAACACTGCAATAAAAAAATGTAGCACACATTACTGTTATTGTATGAGTCATTTATGACATTGTGTGTAAATTCTAACATATACAACATCATTATTTCTAACAACTAATAAATTGAATATACAAGCATGTATTTGTGCGCATATATATATATATATATATATAAATATAAATATAGATAAACACAAATCAATATGAGATAACCCAATTGTTTGTGAGAAGCCATCCATAATACATACAAACAAACACTTTTTTAAATCAATTGACCTTTGAAATCAAAACTCTCACAAAATCCAAGTCAATAATGGTGTGTCCAAATGCAAAGTTGATTGTTGGAATCCCAGCTCACCCATCCAGTCAAAAAGTTGAACCAAAAAGTAGCTTTTGACCAGGACCCAACCAAAAAGCCTTTGCAAGAACCTGGTCTGTGTTGGTAAATAGATCAAAGAATGCATAAATCTGAATCTCAAAATTCACGTAAACAATGAAGTACATGCACTTCCCAAGGTAACGTGTGTCTTGTACGATTGTGTTACCAATTTTTTAAATGTTTGAATGCAGAGTTTAAATAACAAAACAAAACACAGCTAAATTTGAAAATATAAACTGTCCAAAATCCTGGTGGGAAATTTTTCTTCCACAGATTTTGTCTTGTTTTTTTGTATTGAATCCTTGGGAGTGTGAGATGTAAATGAGTATTTGATTTAGTCTTACGTGGTTTGGACTTGTAAAAGACAACCTGGTCAACTCAAGTTTGTTGAGTGGCCTCCACTAATAACAACCCTGCCTTAAGGAATGTAATGAAACTCTTAAAACTCTCCCAATCATTTATGATTATTTTTCTACATTTTTATTTTGATAGGGTATGCAAAACGATTTCCAACACACTGGATTATTATTTTTTTCATTTTTGTTGTTCACTATCAAAGAACTCAATACTTTTGCATTTAGTATATTTTAAAATAAATAAATAATAGAACCCAAATCCTCTCTTGTAAACCATTATCCTCATAGTGTTAAAACAGTCATCCAAATGCTGTCGTAAATTACTACTCCTTCAACTAAATCTGCACTGAAAAATCTCTTCCTATCAAAAACGCAGCCCATCGTCTCAAATTTAACGATAATTGATTCGTTTTTTGTGTAGTTTTTATTATTTTATTTTTTGTTGCTGAATTCCATAATACAGCAGGTATCATGAATATGCTCTGAGATTTTGGTCACCTGTTGCAATGTTGGCCAACTTACATGGTGAGCAGCCTATATTAACGCCTCTGACAAAGAACAAGACCCACACAGAATGCTTGCAAATTAAGTTTTGCAAACAGAGTTGCTGCTCTGGGTGCACACAAGATTCATGTGATGTGAATGAATTGGTTGCATCAATTAGAGTTTGAGTATGGGAACGCAGGAGCTTGCTTACAGAATTTCAAATAGATTTCTGCAGCAGATACAGAGAATCTCCACGTCAGTTGTAAGCAACAGGGCCGGCCTAGACATATCAGTGATTGATAACATTAATGATAGCAAACATGGACTTATGGAACTTGTGAAAAGAAGTTGAGAGTCTAGAATCTTATCTCACTGCCAATGAATGCTCCGATTTCTCCAGCAGTTGGTTTCTTGATCAGAGGAGCGCAGTTTCAGAGTCCTGACGTGGTAGTGAAGTTTCGTGCTGGACATTTCACACAGAAGCCGCAACTGCTCAAGTGAGGAAAAAAAATGTCTCCTACAGAAAGGTAGTGGACTTCGTCGCTAAAGGTCGAACGCTTTCAAAGAGTTCGTCATTCCTGTTCAAGTATATATTCAAAAGCTACCGATTCGGAACACGGAATTGGAAGTTCGGCACTAACTGTGCAGACGCTTTAGTCCTGTATAAGTGTTAGGTTCATGATGGAGGCTTCAATCCGGTACATGTTCACGTTGTCCTTCATGCTACGAAAGATATCGATGCCATGTTGACAAACATTTAAACGACTTAAAAGGGAAGTAAAAACTCATGATTTTGTTCAACTCAAGATGGCATCCAAAAAGTTAAAGAAAACGGTTGTGGCGCTGATGGAGGATCATTGAATTTCGTACGTTTGATTAAACGATACTTCCAAGACATCAAGTATTTTGAAGACATAACGAACCTTACTTTCTTCATCGTACTCGTCACCCGTCTAAACCACGAAGCAAGTCCAACAATTCACAAAGCTGTCAAAAACACATGGAACTGGACGAATTTGAAGAAATAAGAGAACTATAAGTGCCAGGGCATAAAGTCTACTTAAGAGGCAGTATAGATATAACCAAACACGATAAGAATCTGTTAGTTTTCTAAGTGCTAATCCATGCAGGTTATCGTCTAATCAGACAACAGCGTGTTGGCCTATTTGAAATAAAAACGATTGTCCACTGCGATTCTTTTACTCCAGTTATCAGGTCCCTCCTACCACACCACTACTATGCAAAGTACTACAGATTTTGCTGCTGCTAAGATTTTCCAGATCCAATCACATCATCCCTCGTAAATGTCACAAGTAATTACAAAGGGAGAAGTCTAAATTCAGACAGTCTTTGGATTAAAACACAGCCAACAGATTTCAAAAGGATCTCAAAGCATGGTGGCCAACAGAGCAAAACAGTGATGAATCTGTACCTGTCCCTCTTTATTCTTTGAAAAACCGTAAACCCCTTATGAAGCGTGACATCATTTTCTTCGTTCTAGAATGAGAAGATCGCTAACTTCAACCAACCAGGATTATGAGTAGTCTTTCAGGATGTATAACCAGGAAGGAGCGTGTGACAGCGTATCCTCGGAAAGGGTTTTATCAGTTTCCGAAGACTGGGACAATAGGGCGTACAAAATCTTCCTCAAGGCTGTTGAGCCATAACATCTACAGTGAAACGTAGACAAGATATTCACTAAATAAAGGAGCCTAGTTCCGAATCTGCGAACCAAATAAAATTGAAAATCGCCTCGCTGAAGTTAAAACCCTTTCTCAATGATTCGATTGGAAAAAACATCGATGATGATGCGCTCAGCCAACGATAAAGCATGACTCAATTTGTAATCTCTCCTTCCTCCATCTCCCCCTCCCTAATATTGCAATGATCTCTGTTGATCTGACCGCCACATTCCCACTCCTGGACACCAGAATCGTAAACCTCAGTGACACCATGGATTGGACTATCAGTGGCGATGTGTCCCTCTTCAACAAGGTCACCGTAGCTCACAGCCATCCTGATCCTTTCAGAAACTGGTCTATTCGATTGTAACGGATTTGGTCCCGCAGAAGCTTTAGGGTTCAAAACTTTAGCTTCTGGTGGAACACCTCGCTCTGATTGCTTCTTCAGCCCTTGAATCCATGCATTCTGTAGCGCGGCGGGTACACGGGCACTGTCTACTTCTTCCCTCAAGCTTGCTCTACGTGGTCTCTCTCGAGATACTCCTCGCCCAGGACGGCCTTCTTCCCTGGGAAGGCGATCAGCATCCAGACTTGTTCTACACCGTTTAACATTTGGACGCTCATCTCCTCCTGTATCTACATCCATGTGCTGGCGTTTCCCAGTCCCTCTTTCTTTCTGCTTTGCTTTCTGCTGTTCTATATGCTTTCGATTTCCTTCCTTCATTATCTCCTTGTACAGGACAGGACCAACATGATCCCGGAGTAAATTCCACAGTACACCTCCTGCAGATCGACGACGAAGTCCATCAGCTGTCATTTGACCACCGCACTTCTGAATCGCATCCACCTGGTTCAGAAGACCCTTCATGGCCTCAATGCCAATCCTGTCCACTGCTTCTCGAAACAAAGGATATTTCGTTTCTTCTATTCGTCTGCACGTCTGCACCACAAAGCGCTCGATGATCACTGTTTTCTCCCGTGGAGCGGACTGTCTCCGTCTCTCACCTCTCTTCTTCTTCTTCTTTTTCTTCTTCTGATTCTTCTCATGCGTACCATTGATTCCTTGAAACTCTACTGTTCTTGAGCTCTTGTCCGCACCATTTTCACTAGTATCATTTGCTACTAATATTTCACCGTCTTCATTAACAAACCCCTCATTTCCCTCAGTTCTTGAAATATCTAAGGCCTTAAACCCAGACTGCAGTTGGCCAGCCTCTTCACCCTCCTCCTCTTCCTCACATCCATCCTCGTAATCCGAATCATCTTCGAACTCGTCATGAACCACATCTAATACACTATCATGCACCATTGTGGAGAGTATCCCTCTACAACTTACAAGTCCTAAACCGCACTTGCATCTTCTCGAAAGCCCTGTCCCACCTCAAATCTCCAATTCCAAATCACAATTGATCAAATTTCACATGCAGAGCTAGCAAATCGCATTCGCCCAGCAGGGATTCCCACTCAGAACAGATTCCAGAACCCTTCAAGAACCTCCACGACCTTCACTCCCATCGCCCGACTGAAACCCGCAAATCCCACCGCCCCAATCTTGACACTGAAGCAAGGTTACCTGATTTTGCACAAAACCATAACCGAAAAAAACCCAAAAACCTAAACACTCCACACCCTCCCGAAAACCGAAATTCCAAATCCAACAACAGATTGTTACCAGTGCCGCGGGAATACCGAAGCTACGAAACATGGGAAGAGCTTCGAAATAGGAGAGACTTGACGAGAGCTGCTTGAAACCCTAAAAGATATACCCATTACCGTCTGTCTCCCAGATTTTCAAACACCTTGCAAAGCTTTCAGAGGTCTGGGGCCAGGAAATCATCGACAGTGCCACGATGCAGGTTGCGGCGCAGCACTTCGTTGCGAGAAACGAAAGACTTCATGCTCTGCTCCAACGCGTCAGTTGCGATTTTCCCACCGACACAAACAAACTCTGGCAGCGATCGTCAACGGTCTCGTCGTTATTTGAGCGAAACGTTGGGCTGCTGAATCTTTCGTCCGGATTCTCAAACGGGACTGGTATAGCGGGTTACCGATTCGTTGGGCCACTGAACTTACCGGAAGTAGCCGTTTTAATCGTCGCGGTTACCGGTACCACGGTGTTGGGTTGCTAGTTTGCGGCCACCATCAAGAGTGAATCATGAATTTTTGTATATGGTGCTTCCTCAATTCTTTTCTTAAATAATTCAAATATTTTTTGAAAATAAATTTCCTAATTTCAAGCAATTTAAAATATAGATCATTAGCAAGTAAGGTTAAAAATACTACAATTTGATGTTGTATACTATGCATTAAATACTTGAATAAAGATTGCACTTTGAATAAAAACTACTCTTACTATGTCATTTATTTCATCATGATTCTTATAGGTTTTTTGTTTTGAGTTTCTTACTTTACCTACATGAGGTGTTGTATCTTATCTATTAGGTATCGTTACTTTAGATATAATAATGGGATTTAAATTTGGAGATTGAAAATATTCTTTATGTTTTGTATTTTAGTATAAAAAGAAAATAATTCATTGTTTCATCTTTCTTTGACCAACAATAGACTTTCAATAATACATCTTTTACTTCTTGTCGCTTTGCATAGCATCTATTCTAATTGCATAGAGTTAATATCTTCAAATATTTCTTTTTTCAAGGTTTGATAATGTCATTAGCCACATGAGATGTTATGTCTTGTCTATTCAGAAGTAGCACTTTAGATATGAGAATAGAACTTAGATTTGAAGAGTTATATGTATTCTTTAAGTATTATTCTTTAATATATAAGATCTATGATTCATTCCTTAAATCTTCTTTAACAAACAACAAGCTATCTTTAGTATGTCTTTTAGATCTTGTTGCTTGGAATGACATCCATTCTATCTACTATATGATTGAGTTGATGTCTTTTAAATTGTCTTTATTTTTTTATCTCAGTAATTATAGATTTCATATATTTGTATATAAATTCTTTCATGATATTGATACCAAATTTTTATGATTAATATCATCTTAAATGTCATTAATTTCAAGATAGGGCAATAATATTTGTTAAATCATCGGCACATTTGGAACTTTAGCTATATTCCTTCTTATTACATGTATTAAATTAATTGAGTAATTAAATATGTTCATTTTTTTTCTTATGCACATCCTAAATAAATTCAATAGTCTCTATTGTCCTTTTATTTTGCATAATTTAGAACCTTGTTAGTTGAGAAATTTCTAAATATAATCACACATTATTCAAATAAATGGATATTATTCATATACCTTTGGACTTATTGTTGCTTGTTTTTATGTCCTATCTTAAATATTAATCTATTAATAATTAGATTTATTCTATTATTCTATAATATTATTGATAGATTTATATTTACTTGTTTTATAGTATTACCACTATACTCTCTAAATTGTTATCTTAAATATTAATTATTTTAAGTTTTAGTAATATACATGTTAAAATAAGTGAATTTGAAGAAGGATCACTATCACTATTACATCAAGGAAGAGATAGAAATGCTTGGATTTATATTATATGCTTTATTCTTTGTTTGGCTGCAATAGTTAGTTTAGTCAAGAATAATAGATTAGTGTATTTTCTTTAAGATCTTACATGAGTTGGTGTAATTGTCTATTTTTGTGGTTTATAATGGGGATAAAACTGTCTCTTTTTGTATTGATGTTTTTCTATTCTTTTTGTTATTTCTTTTCACTTATAAGAATATTTTTGCTTTAATAAAATATATCTAAATTTATATTATATAAAATCATATTTTTCTACAATTATAAAACTTATCAGTTCCAACATTGCATCTATACTTAAAATTATAAACCTCTATAAAAACATTATGATATGATAATTAAATCTCTAAATATTTTAAATATATAAAAAAAAAATTTAATAAATGAATAAATATCCTATAAAATGCTACTAAATCTAAAACCCATGTGAGAAAAAGAATTGACAAATATCCTTCTAAATGATTTTGTTAAACTTGACCATACTTATTTTATCTTTTATCTTCTTAACAATTGCAATGAATTGCTACGAACCATCTTCTCAATGTAGTCAAGACATTTTGTATACTTGGATTGATTTAAGCACATTTACTATTATAATTTCAAATGTTTTTTTTACTATTTTTTATTTTAGCATTTTGCTTTGAATTGAGTTGTCTTTTAAAATATAGTTTTCAATAACATTGTGATATTTAGAATGCAAGTAATCACTTGATTTTTATAGTAGTCTAAAAGGTTTTTGAAATCTATTAGATTTTGTTAATATAAATATTAGATCTACTCTTGCAAATTATCAACAATGACATAGTATAAGACTTTATCTTCATAGAATTCAATTGTGTTGCCCAACTCAAAGAAAAGCTTATAATGCCATAAATAATGGTAGATTGTTTCTATCTTGATATCAAAGTCTATATAGTGACTTCCATCTAAATCACTAATAAAATATAAATATGCTTAATCTTGTTGACATTGTCTTCATGGTGCTCTATAAAAAAATAATTAAAGTTCTATATATAGTAAATCTTGATATTTCTAATAATTCCAACATTGTAAGACTATATGTTGGATGTCAAATTTTGAATATAAAGAATGGTAGTATTTTGCAAAGTGATATAGATATGGAGTTATGCTAAGAAAATATAGGCGTTATAATTCTCAAGGATAAAAGTAACTTTTTGGTTTATTAGGCATTGATTAAATTACTTGAATTACTTCAAAAAGATGATTTGTGTTATAAAAACCTTAGAATTGTTGTAATAATTACAACCAATATTGTGAAGGTTAACATGCTTGAAGTAGCAAGGATTAACTTATTTACTAATAAATCAAATCAATTACTTGTCATTGCTATTATTGTTGATACAACTATCAATAATGATCTAATCCTTGTTTTATTTCTATCCATCAAGTTATAAATTGGCAAAGGAATTATTTTCTTCCTATACATTATTGTTGAATCTATCTATTTCACTATAGTATTTATTATTGTTTGAATGCAACTAATACAAATGCTTATGTGCATGTAGTAAAAAAGACTAGTCTCATTTATATTAGAAATAAATTTCTATTTAAACTTATCAAATATCTTGAATAATAGGTAGAGTCTCAAGAAAATTTTATACAACAACCAAAATATTCTTTTCAAACTTAAGAAAGGATTTGATGTTGTGTTGGATTTTGAAAACCTTCAGCTATTTATTGAAGAACTACAATAGATCATGATTTGAAAAAAATTAAATTAAATTAAATATGTATTACAATCTTGCCAATGAGATCTCCATTGAGATTAATGCGATCATGATTTATCTTAACGAATTTGCAAGTGTTGTTGCTATTGATGGATATTTCATTATCTACTAGCATTTGATTGTTTAGTTGGCATTTGATGTGGTATTGAAAAGCTTTGAAGATTTCTTCAATATCTTCAAGGTGATTGATTGGTTGATGAACATATTGTGTGTGTCTTGAAGTCAATGCTTTAATTTGTATTACTTGATGTGAAGGTTCTTTTTAAAATATGTGCACAAGTCTATATAAATAGCATATATTATGGTTGTGTGTTTTGCTCCCTTTTTTGATATGTATGACCACAATAAAAGTGATGAAGGCAAAATATTCTTCATATAGAAGTAAGATGCTTTGTTCGTTGTTGTCCTTCTATTTTTGCCTTTGATCTTATAATCTATAGCTAAACAAATTCTACAATTAATTGAGATAGTCTATTAGCACCAATTTATATCTTTGTGTCACTAAATTTGTTATTAGAACTTTATACTCCTATCTTTCTTTAGATAGAAGTGCAATACACATTTCTTAATCTTGTACTAAATAGTATTTGGCCTTACTACAATTATTTATTTATTTATTTATTGGCTCTACTAACATTTTAAAATTTATTCAAAAGACTTGTTAGTATAATCTATATAGTGGTTTTCATACTTCCATATGAAAGTAATAGTTTAAAGTATCATATTACTTTTCAAGTGAAATTAACAGTGTATTACTGGAAAAATAAATTAAAATTAAAATTGTTATCAATTGTATGTACTCCTCATTTTGTATTTGAAAGATTAAAATAAAATGAAAAAATAGTCTTTCTTGATGTTTCTATCCACTAATATTGGTGCATTAATTATTTACACAAGTTGTTCTAACTACCTAGGAAATTGACGTAGGAGGGGGTTTCTCTCCACAAAATAAACAATTGCAACATGTCAACTAAGAAACATCATTTCTATACAAATCAAAATATCATCAACCTCTATATTTCCAAATGTAATTCCTTACAAAAAAAAAACATGTATAATCATAAGAGAATATTAAAAAAAAAACATACACATGTTCACATTGCCATTATAACCATTGCCAAAAATATGTGGCTGTGCATTAAACCTCATCTGTGAACCAAATGAGGAGGAAATCCTAATTCGGGGGTTTTCAAGTTAAACTCATAAATTAAGGTTTCCTGCCCTCCGACCGAGAAATCAGCGAAGCCCTCTATGTCGCAGAACTCGATTATTAAATTGTTATCGTAATTCGCTGCCAGGTAAATCCGGCAGATCGTTGGTTTATCGCAATTCATTCATAAGCACAAGCTTTGGATTTATTATATATTTTCGCAGACAGGTCTCGTGATCTTCGGGATTTCAGTTGACACACTGACGTTTTGTTGTGCTGCTCACATACCAAGCTCTCATTAAGCGAATTTCAAGAGCTGCAGCGAGCTGCCAACCGCGAGCGAACTCAAGTTTACGCTCTACATCATTTCGTGTTCAAGGCTCATGAATCCTGCTGCGTTCCCTTCCCATCGTCATGTTTTGTACAACGTCCAAGATATCTCTGCTTTTGGTGACAATTGCTGAAAAGAACACTTTACTTCGAAGCATCGTGGATGATACGAGGCATGGCTTCCCCAGAAGTTGTAGATCAGAAATATATAAATTGCATGAAACACTCATTGGCTCCAGCTCCCGCCTTGCACGCTCGTACACACACACATCTCTCTCTCTCTCTCTCTCTCTCTCTCTATATATATATATATATATATATATATCATTCAAGACATCTTTTTGTTAAACTAAAAATGCGAATTCTCTTGGCTTCTGGTTCCAACTACGCTCTTGGAATTCTGTTCTTCAGTTGCGCAGCTTCAAATTTTATCTCAAAACCTTACCCCGCTGATGCTGTAAAATTGCCATACCCTACATGATCACAGAGACTTATCGCTGAACTGCCACTTAGGCACACGAGTGGGCTAAATTGCGGAAATTCTTCCATGTCGAATCACGATTCTATCTCGACAAGCTGTACTGGACATGTTGCTGAAAACGAGGTTGCCAGAAGTTGTACGCTGCTTACTCGATATTTGCTTTTCATTGTGCTCGATATCATATATGCAAGTGTGTACTCCGCACTCGTAATAGGCATGCTCATGTGTTTTTCACGAATCAGTGCCCATGATTTTAGATACAACAGATACAATTTTTACAACAGACGAGATTCATTTCACGAGGTTTTCTTTTGCTTCGATAGGATGTTTTGTGTCAACATCATTACTGACCTCTGACCGCATGTCTCCTCAGATATATTAGAAATATCCCAAGGCATGCGAGAGAGCTTCATGCAGATCAATCAATCTCTGACTCTCCCCTGTTCGTGTTTTGTTTATCGACTACGTGCATTCAGAATTCATAATTTGTAGCGAATGGCACTCTTCACGAAGCACTGGACTTTACATGGATTAGTTCTCTCTCAGTTAAGTTTAATGTCTGCTTCGTTTTATATGCTGTCATTCTTTCTTAGTGGTTGAATCTGAAACCCTAAATCCCCTAAGTCAACAGGTATCGTGGTTGTATCTTCGTCACCGATCACCTATGACCCATATTAAAGCAGTATGGTCCCTTTAAAGTTGCAGAAACAGATTCCCTACCAAGTAAATTCTGGTTAGAGAAACTGAGATTGGCAAAATCGACTGGAGGTAAAATACTCATATCAGTACGAGTCCCTTGCCTTGGACTCATCCTGATCACACCAGCTCTCTTTTGAGTTTGTAACATAATGACTTCACTTAAAAGTGATATTCTGGTGTCCTTGCAATCGGTGAGCGGTATGTCCACTGGTTTTGCTTCTCCTCACAATTGCGTGATGATGAACTGATGATGGAGATCTATCCGTGCTTTTCCTGAGCTGCTACTGCCACTGCCTTATGTCCTATTTGTTTTATGTGTGGACTGGGAGAATCGTTTGAGCCCCGACTGAGAGTCTTATATATTGCTTGTTTATTGAAACGAAACTGAAAAGGATATTTCTTGGGACAGCCCTTGAGAAGTCTGTCAAGCTACTGCTCTCTTTGGTACAACCCCTCCCCCCTAAAAAATTTAAGCTATTCTACATACGTATACAACTTTTTGTGTCTTTCATTTTCGTAATAATGAATTCGGGCTTTGGTTCTTAGATTATATTGCCGAAGAAGTCGCAAACTTTTGCAGAATGGGTGTGTCAATGAAGGATAACAGCACCTTGTGTTCGGAGTTGATGAAGTGTGTTTTTTCTCGTGCTTGTGGTAGGTCTGAGAGTGACCATAATTGCTGCACACGTGCCGGAGAACAGCGACCCACTGCTCAAGTAGCTAAGTTTCGGGATCTTGGGTGATCATGAGAGATTGGCAGCCATCTCTTCACCAAATGCCAGAACTCTTTTTGTTGTGATGCATGAGCACTTGAACACCATGAGCTTTCCCACTAACAGCAGCTTGATGTTTTGGCTGTGGTGTCTGGCATGTGCACAGGAAACCTCTACAATCCTCTCTTCACCATAGACTCAGGAAACACGAAACCATCAGTGAGTCCCATAACAAGGTTCAGTGACACTCGTTCTGCGTTTGGCTATGTAGTGATTTCGCAACATAGGTGTTAATGCCCCGTCTCACTTTTGCAACTTATGCGACATGGTTGGTGAAATGGAGATAGATGGGGAAAAAGTGGGAGCCATTTCTACTTGAGACTCGACACCAGCGTTCAACCGGCACACATGTGTTGCCTCCTCTCACATTAAATTTTAGACTGGTCTGATACTGATAGCTCAAGCTCAAACCAAACTTGAAGTCTGGTTAGATATACTCCGTAACCGTTTCTTAAGCTGATGACTTTTTACCCACCCTCTGATTTAGAGCAAGTTGTCATCGATTGGTACCACATACTTTGACTGGATGTCATATTCTGGATTTTTATTTTTATTTTTTCTTCTTCTTTTACTGTAATTAATTAATTGATCGAGATGCACGCCAGATGTGCCTCACGTCCTGATCGAAGGTTGTACAAATCTCAATGGTTACAGATTGTGCAGCCTGCATCTCCTGCTGCTACTAATTCATTCATTCACACACACACACACACACAAGTCTAGATAGAAAAAATATATATATATATATACATACACATACATATGTGTGTGTGTGAATTTGTATTTATATCAGGTTAACGTTAAATATTTTATTATTTTGAATTCCCGAAACACGTGACCACAACCAACCTTCACTATATATATTTGAAGATATGCGAGTTGTTAGCTTCGGCTAAAATTCCCAACTACACACACGAATAATTCAATATCCTGCATGTGTTATGAAGTAATTCAAAATCATCAAAAACATCTCTTGAAACATTAGAGGTTCAATGTGAAAAATCATTTTCATTCTTTGGGATATAAAGCCCAAAACCAACCCTTTGAAGTATGAATCGACTATTATATTATTATGTTATTTATTCTCAGCCTTTAAAAATTTGTAAAGATTATGTTCTACTTCTCTACACATCAAAACTACTAATAATGACATTGGATTAATTACTAGAAATACCACTTTTGTGGCAACACTTGGAAGGACAAGCAACCATACCCAATAATATAATATATAGACATTAAAAATCAAAATATGGTTTGCATCCCGTTCTTCAACCATATCCATTCTGAAACATCAATTATTCAAGATATACCCATGACTAAATATTTTATTTTTTCCTTTCTCTTTCTTTTTGTTCATTCAAAACTTACTAGTGGAATAAAGTTTGAAATGACACTAAAACAAAAACAAATTGAGTAAAAAAACAGTTAAAGCATAAATATTGAGGTTGAAAGCCAAAAATAATTACAAGGGGGGCAGCTTCCACGTCACATGCCGAAGGGGTCCAGCAAGGCAGTGAAATTGCTTACCTGGCACAAAGAAATGCACCTCTTTTGGTTCCCGAAAAGAAATTTTCCATGTGGCACTCAACGCCAAAGTGACTTTTTATTTTAAAAAATGTGGCATCCTTTTTTAATTCATGCCACGTGGATAATAGATAGAATTCCACCTTAAAATATTCATCCACTTTGGGCTCCAATTTCTAACATTATCATGTCCTACGTGGACCCATCATTGGCACCTCCAAAAATAGGAAATCTCATGACCCAATACATAACAATGCTTAACTTTCGAACGGCATGAACTAAAAGCAATCTACATAAATAAATAACATGATTTTTTGTTGAGTAAAATACATGTCCGTTACTATTATTCTTTTATTATTTTCATGTCTATCTATAAATAAAACAACAAATATATCTAGAAAATAAATTACATGGGTAAACATTAGCTAAGTTTAGTAGACAAAAAAAAACATGTGTGTACGTGTGTTTATTATCCAATTACTATATGCCATTTGTGAGTTTGTAAAAAACATGCAAAACAAAATCAATAAATTAACTTCTTGTTTGTTTGATTGTTTTTGTAAATTAATAAAAGTTTGACTAAACATTTTTCTGCATTGCATGCATTGGATGATACGACAAGTCTCTGATATTTATAGAAGACGAAATTAAATGTCTAAGTGAACATCTGAAAGTTTTTTTTAAAAAAAATACTAGTATGCAACAAATACTCACAAAACATGGAAAGAAAGTATTTGATGCCTCGTTATTATTCTGATATGAAATCACACCGAACAAAGAGTTTGACCTAAAACTATATTGAATTAGTCAATACAAGTCTATTTTTGGGCTACACATACGAATCCAAAAATACAAGTCTACAAGTGGGGTTCCAAAAATTGTACCAAAATATGCTATTTAAAAAAATCTGTTGATTTTTTTAAATGAATACTAATTTAGTACGGAATGAATATGAAAATATTCTATGTTGGCCCCACTATGAACATGCATTGGTCAAAAACGTCAAGAAAAACACTTATCTCTTTAAAAAGAGAATAAAAATATCATCCTACTATACACCTTAAAAAAGTGTGTATATATATATATAAAGTGTGTATATATAGTGTATATATAATGTTAGCTATAATTTATACACCAGATGTTATTGTTTTAACAAACTCATATAATTTTAAAACAAAAGGATTTTTTTGTTGGAGCGATCAAAGCATTTAGTACAAAAATGTTTCATATTAATGACCATCATCCTATGAATGATTCTGAATCATCATTGAACAATGTGTTAAATCGTTACTTCATTTTTCTAAAAAAAATCATCACATCAGCATCACAATTACCAATGTGTTGATGAGATTACACATTCATGAACCACTTACAAATACCCAACTCAAGAGGTGTCTTATATTCATAAGGAATAATACTTTGAACAACACTCTTTCTCACCTGAGTCAAAAATATATATACTCTGAAATTCTATTTGGGTGTGGAAGATTTTTAACTTCAACGCCACAAGAAAAACCATTAATAATATAATCTCCCAAAATCAATACATTCCTCGGACCCATACGATTGAAATTTCGCAATTTCTCTGTAATAATTAACATGGACTTTTACAATAGAAGCATCCATAATAAAACACTAATGCAACGTAACACACACACACACTCACATATATATATATACATACATACATACATACATACATACATAATTTGGAAAGAAAAAGAGGGGGCGTAAGTGTCAGCATATCTATGAGCATTTATGTTCATATAGCTTATAATAGAATGGTAAGAGCCAACCGAAGCAAGCAATGGATGAGTAGAATAATCAAACCCCCCCCCCCCAATAAAATGATATTTGTATGTGGGTCCCAAGTCTAGAACCTTCCCTGCTTCCCCTGCCCCCTCCGACGTGGCACAGTGAGTTCCAACGAACCCATCGTGGATGACGTTCGTCCACTTATCCATCCAATAATTTGGATGATACTAATGTGGAACGAACGTTGTTCATCCATTTGCGTTCCCAATAATGCTGAGTCCACGTTCGGCTCCTGCAGGGTGTTGCTTCCATGTGACGAAAGAGGGGGCCTCATGATGCCCAAAAAGTAGAAGGCGAACTTTAACTCTTTATTTGATTCCTTGCTTCAATTTGTGTATTTGTTATTCGTGCACATGGATATAAATAAGGAAAGGGGTTAATTTTGATGTGGATTTTCACTTATTTTGGCGAAATTGGATTTTGGGAATATGAGTCGGAAACAACAATAAGTTTCCATGATGTGGGTTCTCCTCATGGTGAAAATTTGCTTTCAAATTGGGAAAACAGTTGTAACACTTTCATTTTACATCAGAGATCATGTTGTATGTTAATATGGTACATAACACAGGTTAATAGTATTAAACCAACATTTGTCTAAAATTTGATATTAGTGAAAATCCACATCAAAATTAAAGTTGTACAAATGTGTACATTCCTAAGTCAAGTTTACAAGAATGTCAATATACGATCATGCTGAAATGGGTTGCAATCGATGAGTAATTATGGATGTATTACGTATGGCATTGCACAGTGATTTCTCTTTCAACACCCTGAAGCATATATGTAAATATTTATATATTTGTATATTCACTGTGTTTTGTCGAAAATGCTTGTGATTCAAATCACTTTGTTACTGAAAGATTAAAAAAATATTATAAAGTCATTTACTTGTATTCCACGTGCTATTATCTATTTGCTGCACATCAATTCCATGACCTTCAAGACGAAATTACTAATTAAAAATGCGTAGGATTTACCTTCTAAAATTGAAGGTTATGTTTTATAAATATAGAAGGGTCGCGAATTTAATTTGAGAAGAGTTATAAAAATCCCATACACCATGCCAACATCTTCCATATTTGGATGATACTCGTGGGGATAATGGATGTCGTCCAACAACTGGCCGTTGAAGTTCTTTCATCCAATCGAGACAAAGTGGGCCCACGGGAGTGACTGGTCCCACCTCCCGCCACGTAGGACCGCCGGGGGTTGGATTCACACTGAGAGGATTCGGTGTATTGTACTGTTCTTAGGAAGTACATTTGAGCATTTCAGTCCCTCTCGTGGATTTTAGCTATGGCGAACTTGGGTCACATCGAGGTGTCAAATGAGGTCTCGAAACTGGTTTGGACTTGAAGTTTTAACAACCATTAAAAGGCTATTAAAGAATGATGTGGATACTAAAACAAATGGATGAGTACCACATGTTTGTGGGTTACTTTGATGCACACATTTATGTAGCTAATGTAGATTAAGGTAATCAAAAACTACAAATACTCAATAAGAGTCATATGTTTTTAATTATATACTTTTATGGGAGGTTTGTTGTGACAATACTATATAATGGTGGTTATTGGATAGGATTGAATGCTATGAGCTTTAATATCTACACAACACACACAACTTTCAAAAAGAATACTAAATAAGAGATTGTCCAACATAAAGAAATAACCAAATAACTATAACTATAAATATATCTATATATATATACACACACAACCATGCCTTGGCATTAGTTAGATCTTTTCTTTGTCCATAACTTCAATTAGGGATAGATTTTTTTAAGGCAAGAAATTAACTCAAGAAGTTTTTTCAGGAGAAGACACGATTATATGAAGAGTTTGCATTTCTGATACTTTAAAACACAAGTTTCTAGAAGTAAAAGTAAAATACTGAATATGTAATATCATTTATTTGTGATCCTTAGAAGAATTATGATATACGAATTAAGTATAAAAATATATGTGGAATCGATTTTACAAAAAGTATGAAATTTCAAATGTGGATTACACTCTGTTAATTTGTGTGCATGTTTTTTTTTTTTTTTTAATCTTTTGTTTTAGTTTTTGGTTTAATGCAATAGTAGCATTCTTGTATTTACTACACATATGTAAAAGTAATAAAGACAATACTTATAAAAATATGGTTTCTGGTCTAATTTTATTCAAGTATGTAAAATTTAAATACCTCATTATGTTGTGATGCATATTAAGATCACACTTTTTTGATATATATATGTTTG